CCATTTTTAACTCTTTGAGGAACCTCCACACAGTTTTCCAGAGTGGCTGCACCAGTTCACATTCCCACCAACAGTGTAAGAGGGTTCCCTTTTCTCCGCATCCTCTCCAACATTTGTGGTTTCCTGCCTTGTTAATTTTCCCCATTCTCACTGGTGTGAGGTGGTATCTCATTGTGGTTTTGATTTGTATTTCCCTGATGGCAAGTGATGCGGAGCATTTTCTCATGTGCGTGTTGGCCATGTCTATGTCTTCCTCTGTGAGATTTCTCTTCATGTCTTTTGCCCATTTCATGATTGGATTGTTTGTTTCTTTGGTGTTGAGTTTGATAAGTTCTTTATAGATCTTGGAAACTAGCCCTTTATCTGATACGTAATTTGCAAATATCTTCTCCCATTCTGTAGGTTGTCTTTGAGTTTTGTTGACTGTATCCTTCGCTGTGCAAAAGCTTCTTATCTGGATGAAGTCCCAATAGTTCATTTTTGCTTTTGTTTCTTTTGCCTTCGTGGATGTATCTTGCAAGAAGTTACTGTAGCCTTTAAATATTTTTAATGATTTTATTTATGTATTTATTTTAGAGAGAGAAAGAGAGAGAGCATGCACATGCACACGTGATGGGGGCGGGGAGGAGCAGAGGAAGAGGGTAAAATCCCAAGCAGTTTCCATGCCCAGTGCCCAGCCGAAATTAAGAGCCAAAATTAAGAGTCAGATGCTTAACTGACTGAGCTGCCCAGGCACTCCTACTTTCAAATATGTTTAAACTCCCCAGTGTGAGTTTTTTATTTCTTTCTATTTTTTAAAAATTTTTAAAAAGATTTTATTTATTTATTCCTGAGAGACACAGAGAGAGGCAGAGACACAGGCAGGGAGAGAAGCAGGCTCCATGCAGGGAGCCTGATGTGGGACTCAATCCCAGATCCCGGGATCACACCCTGAGCTGAAGGCAGATGCTCAACTAGGGAACCTCCCAGGTGTCCCAATGTGAGTTTTTTTTAAACTGTTGATAGTTCCATCAGCTCTTGGAAGCTTCAGTTATTATCTCTTCAAGTATTTATTTCTGCCCCTCTGTATTTTGTTTGGTATTATCACCCTGTCCTTGAAGCTCTGTTCACTTTTCTTCATTTTCCCCTTGGTTCTCCAGACTGGATAATTTCTATTGATCTGTTCTCCAGTTCACTGAATTTCCTGACATCTCCAAGTTTCTATAAAGTCCAGTCAGTTAAGTTTTAATTTCAGCAATTGTAGCTTTCAGTTCAAGAATTGCCCTCAGTCCTTTTTCATGGTTATCTTTCGTCTGCTGGGATTGCCTATCTGTTCACTCATAGGATTACATTTCCTTTAAATCTTTGAAGATATCTTTCTGCATAGATTTACAATAATTGCTTTAAGGCCTTTATCTGTCGCATCTAGCACCTGGGCCATCTCACTTTCAATTCCTACTGAATGCTTCAGTTTTCTTGAGCAAGAATCACATTATTTCTACTCCTTTGTGTTGTTGAGTGATTTGCTTTCCTTATTGAATTCTAGGCACTGTGGGTAGTTTGTGATAAAGACTCCAGATTCTGTTTTCTTTCTCTGATGAGACTTGGTTCTCCTTTGGCAGGTGATTCAACTGCAGGTTGATGACCTGAAGTCCATGGAAGCTGAGTGGCACTCGCCATTGGTGCAGATCCAAGGAAGCACAAGGTATTTCACAAACTCCTCTGACCTGGAGGGTTAGAACCCTTGAACTCTGTGTGCCCTGTAGCTCTGGCAGGAGCTCATCATAGGCTTTGTCAGACGGGAGTCCAGAATAGCTCTTTCTCTGGGTTTTGGCTCCTGTTCCAGAGTTACGGCATTTCTGGTGCCCCCTCTTTGCTTTTGCCCCTACAGTTCCCTGTTCTCTGTATCTCTACCCCACAGGCTGATTTATGCCTTCAGAGCTCAGAGGAACACCCACATCTGTTCAAACCCAACTCTCCAGGCCATATCTGGATATTATCCCCAGGGGGATTGCTGGGCAATGGTAAGCTTCATCCTAAGACAGTTCCCTTCTCTCATGGATTGCATTCTTGCTAAAAAACTTGTTTCCTTTATTTTGACAAGTGTTATGGTTGTTGATGGTGAGAAGGACAATCCTTACCACTTGCTACATCCTGGTCAGATGTGTAAGCTCCTACAACCCATGAGATTTTTAGGACAGCATTTATTAATTTTGTTATTATTATCAAGATATAAGGTCCATCAAATAAAATACAGAGACCTTAAGAGTCCAGTTTGATGAATTTGGACAATTGTATACAGAACATTTCTGGTATCCCAAAATTTCTATCATACCATTTGGCATTTATTTCTCCTCCTTCAGAAGCGACCCCTGTTAGGATTTCTACCACCATATGTTAATTGCAACTGTTCTGGAACTTCATGTAAGTGGAATTATACAAAATGTACTCTGTTGTATCTGACCTTTCCATTCAACATTTTTGGCGGATTCGTTATTGTTGCGGAATGTATCAATAGCTCATTTTCCTTTCCTGTTGAATAACGTTCCAGTGTATGACTATACCACAATTTTGATAATCTATTCTTTAGTTAATGGACGTGGTAAAATAATATATTATGTCATAACGAAACAATAAGGAACAAAGAGGGTAGGATATACTGGAGCTAATTTACAAATGTAGGGCTAAAGATGGTTGTGGTTTTCCCAAGGTTGCATGCATGTCATGGTGGTGACACAGTGGGCAGGTGAGGGTGGTGGTGACAGTCTTGGTGCAGACTGGGATGGTACTGTGGTAATGCCCGCTGAGCACAGTGACATTAGTGATTATCTGAGCCGTCTCTGCCACTCTGAGATCGCTCTGGGATGCTGGCCAGTGGACACAGCTGTAACCTCTGTGGCCATTGTTTGTGTGATAGCTGAACTTGAGCCCCATAAGATAAGAGAAAGGACAGGTAAAGTTGTTTAGTCCTCACTCATCCAATGAGCATGATACCAAAGGCATGATTCAATAAAAGTGCTGTCACTTGGGCTCAGGGCTGTGCAGGAGCCAACAAATTTATCTCAAGGGCAGACAGCTTCATCAGGGCAGGAGGGAGGTATCTTCTCTTGCAGGAGGGAAATGTCGTTTGTACTGGATTTGGCCTCGAGGCACCGCACCTAGCTGTTGTCTATGGCTGTTGAGGAGCCCAGATGCTGAGGTGAGGGGATGAGGGGCCTCTCCTCGGCTGGCCCTGTTCCCTTGCCAACCACATGGGCAGCACTGCTTCTTCCCTCAGGGGCATAGATAGACCACGTGCTCTCTCTCTGCATCTGCATCAGAGACACGTTCTCTCTCTCTGCCATTCTGGTTGCCACTTACGGACATGCCCCACACCCACCCAGAGCCCACATGGATGGGGAGCACTGCCACACCTGACTCTGGGCCCTCAAGGACTATGCCATAGGCATCCAGGTTCAGGACCAGATGGATGAAGGTGAAGGCCCTAGGCTGACACGTGGAGCCTCTGTCCCTTTGGAAGTGCTCCTGACAACACCCCCCACTCTGGGCTTCGTTTCCACGCAACTGGGCATCTGGGTTTGGTGACCTCTGAGCCTCTGAGTCTCCCTTCCATGTCTTTTTATACAGAACTCCACTTTGCTCTGTTCACCAGACCAGGTTGGGATTAGGGGCTGCTGGCCTTCTTAGGCCTTGACCTGCTGCTATAAAAGACTGCTGTTTCATGGTTCAGACACAGCCTCAAACATTGAACAGATGCAGGTTTGAGTCTGATTTATTGCTTTCCACTTGGGACCCTCCGCAAGCTATTCTGAGCCTCAATTCCCTCGTCTGTAAAATGGGGATTATGAGCAGAACAATCCTTCAGGCTGGTGGGGCTGGGAGTGTCCTGTGGGAGGGCTGCTCCTGGGCTGTGGAGACATGTGAGTCCTGGATCCAGCATCAGGACAACTGATGTGACCTGGGGAAAGCACCGCATGCTCTCTGCGCCCTAGTCATGAATGGCCTGACCATCTGGCCATTCTTTCATCTCAGGTGTGGTGTGCCCATCGTTAATGAATCCTCATCCAGGCTCTGTAGATAACACCCAGGTGGGGTGGCCCTGCCCCCTCTGGGGGGACCACACAGGTGGCACTGACATGGGGAGAGCTGGGAAGGGCCAAGAGATCCAAGAGAATTTGGGAAAAGGGGAAGGACACGGAGGAATTTCACCTTCGGGAGCTACAGGAATCAAAGCATGATGGTATTGGTGCAGAAACTGGTAATAGATGAAGAAGAAAGGCTAGAAATCCAAAAGCAGGCCCCTGTGCCCATGGGAATTCACATTATAACAGGAGATGTTCTCTTAAATGCACGAGAGCAGGAGGAGTTCTTCAAAAATCTGTTTGGATGACTGGCAATGCATTTGGAGAAAAACATTAAGTTAAATGTATATCTCATGTCATGCTCAAAAATAAATTCCAAGCTCATTTAAAAAACTAAACTTATTCTTTGGGGAAAAAAAGCATAAGATCTTAAAATATAGGATATTCTTAAAAATTTTGGTATTCAGGAATACCTCTAAGAAAGACACACACTCGTAAACCATAAAGGAAGTATTGAAATATTTGAGGCCCCCCCCCAATTTTCTTTATGTGATAAAGTCACCGTCAGCAAGGTTGTAGAGAGGAAAACTTTGAAAAAATATTTGCTAGGTCTTTAAATAGAAAGGCTCAACATCCATAATATGCGAAGAGTACACATGCACCAACAATAAAAGGTAAACGACGCTCAGGGCAGAAGAATACCTGATCGGAGGTGCCCAACTTCACAGAAATTGGGGAAATATAAAGTCAAGAGGCACTGAGAGTTTTTTTTACCCTGTGGTGTGGGAACCACAAGAGGTTGATGATACCAGGTGCCAGAGGGAGAGCACGCAGGAGAGGCACCCACACACTATTGGCAAGAATATAAATTATCAAAGTCTGTTTTTTTTTAAGATTTTATTTATTTATTCATGAGAGACATGGAGAGAGAGGCAGAGACACAGGCAGAGGGAGAAGCAGGCTCCCTGCAGGAAGCCTGATGCAGGACTCGATCCCGGGACCCCGGGGTCACACCCTGAGCTGGAGGCAGAGACGGTCAACCACTGAGCCATCCGGGTGCCCCTTATCAAAGCCCCTTGAAAGAAAATTGGGAGAATTTGTCAAAGTGGGACTAACCGGCAATCCCATTGGGAAGAAACGCTCGTGAGTATTCACAACAGCGTATGAAGGGATGGGTGGCTGGCGCCCTGCTGCTCAGGAGATCCACCTAAGTGCTCACCAGTGGAGGAATGTCCCGAACACCAGTAGAGGCAGCAGGAAAAAGGAGGTAGACCCGTGTCTATAGATGCAGCTCCAGCTCTGACATGTCCTATCACATGTAGTGTGCGTGCCTTTGTGTGGACGGGCCAGTACACAGCACAGAAGGGCTGCAGGGGGGCCCTGACCCGGCAAGGGCTCCCTCCAACGTGGGCAGGAAGCCATCAGACAAGGGCGCTCGAAGGGAATTTTTCCTGGCTTTGCTGTCTCTCCCTCCGTCCCCTTTAATATTTTGCAGCAAGGATGTGGGCCCGCACCCCTTGTCTGCAGGGACTGCAGGAGGGACACAAATCCCAGGGGCACCCGCTCAGGCCTGGGGCCTCCTCCCTTCCCACCCCCGCTGCATGCTCCGACATGCCTGGCATCCCGGTGCCGGGTGCCTCTCCCGTGGGGTCCCCGGGATGAAGCTCAGAGAGCCCCTGGCTGCATATGGGGGACGCTGCCCCACGCCTAGCAGCTTCTGGGCAGGATCTGCGCTCAGGAGGGCAGCACGGTCTACAGACGTGCAGACGTTCACGTGGTCACTGACGCCGCCGTAACAAGGTGCCACAGACTCGCGCGCACACACACAAGGGAATCCCCGTCTCATGGATCTGGAGGCCAGTTGTCCACGGTCAAGGCTGTACTCCCTCTGGACGTTTGAGGGGGGGACGCCTGCTGCCTCTCACAGCTCCGGGAGCTCTGGACGGGGCTTGGCGTGTGGCCACGTTACCCAGGCTCTGCCTCCGTGGTCACGCAGCCTCCCCCCACCTCTGCCTGCGTCTTATGAGGACGCTTGGCGCTGGGTTAGGGCCCACCAGGATAACCAAGGGTGGTCTCAAGATCCTAAATCACATCTGCAGAGGCCCTTTTCCCACAGGTGTCAGGGGTTTGAGGTGGGCATCTTTTGGGGACGGTTTTGGCTCCCCACACTCTCCTTCCCTTCAACCTTCGGAGTCTGGCGGCCGGCCGGCGAACATCTGACGCAGCCTCCCATTTCCCGCGGCGCTGGCACGAGCCTGGCACGTCCGGGTCAGCTCGCGGGGACCACACACCAGTAGCATTCTCTCCCTCAAACACCTCTTGCACAGCAGAGCCCCGGGTTCCGGTGACAAAGAGCGAACCGGGTGGAGACGGGAGACTCACCTAAGAGACACGTCACCAAGGAAGGAAGAAGAGAGACTGGGTCCCCTAGGCACTTCCCCTGGCCCGGGGCATCCTCCCCATGGAGCCGTGTCCCAAGGGCGAGTCTGCACCACCTTCAGAGGCCGAGGCGCCGGCCCGAGGACGCCCTGCTCCCGGAGCCCGAGGCCCAGCTTGGTCTGGTCCGTGGCCGTGCCGGCGGCAGCCCTTAACAAGCGGCGAGGCGCTGAGCGGGAAAGTTGGGTCCCACGAGGCCCTGTCTCGTCCCCACCTCCGTGACAAGAGGAATGTCATGCAGTGGTTTCGAGAAGAGAGACCTGGAGGCTCAGAGGGGCTGTCCCCATATCCAGGACCCTGGTGGGAGCTGTGCTTCCTTGCACACACAGCCCCATCCTCAAAGGCGTCGCAGGAGAGCCTCGGGCGCCCACCCGGAGAGCAAACCGCGCGGCTCTGCCTCGGCGCCAGGCGGAGAGCGCCCAGGGCCACGGTTAAGCAGGACGAGAGACATCGCCTGCATGGTTTCACGGGCACGCCGCAGGCCCGGGTGAGAGGAGATCTGCGGCACGGGGGGCAGAGGCGGGCCGCGGGGACGGGCGGCTGGGGGCATGGGCCAGGCCAGGAGAGGCGCCTGGGTGGTGGCCCCGGGGCTTGGTCAGGCCTCGGGCTGACTGGGGGGCCAGGGCGCCCTTTAGGGGACGGCCACTCTGAGAAGGCATGGAACGTGGCCCGGGGGCTCGCAGCCACCAGCCCATGGTGCGCTGTCACATACCTGCGAGATGAGGAGAATGACCGCAGGGGGGCTAGCGAGACGCCGGCTGCACACCCCCGGTGGGGGGGCAGAGCCCCGTTAGAGCCAGCTTCAGTAGCATCCACTGTCCTGGCGGCCCTTGGGCCTGCAGCGGGGGACAGGTGGGGGTGGGGAGGGGTGCAGCGCGGCCTTCGGGGGGAGCTGCTGGAGGCTGCCCAAAGCTGGGCTCTGCCGGGCAGCACTCTGAGCACCTGTAGGCTGGCCAGCAGCCTCCCCGACTCAGTTCCGCCCCCCCCCTCCCCGCCCCTGTCCTCCTGAGCTCCACCCCCGACCTCTGCCCTCCTGACCTCCGCCCCCCTGACCTCTACCTTCCTGAGCTCCACCCTCCTGAGCTCCTGAGCTCCCATTCTGGGTAGAACTCCCGGCCCCCCAGGGAAGTGCCAGCTGCTGCCATACACTGTCCCCCAACATATCCTCCCCCATGCCTCTCCCAGTCCCCCTGGGCCCCGCCCCTCCACAGTCTGGCTCCAGCATCAGGAGGGCCTAACCAGGGAGGGAAGGGAAGGGAAGCGTTGGCGGCCAATCGCTTCCTTGCAGCAGAAGCTCCATGCCTCCATGTAAGGTCTCAGAACTTGTCCCCATTTCATACTTGTGGCCACCGAGGCCCAGGGAGCAAAGGAGATGCACCTGGTGCTGGCCAGGTTGTGGACCCCAGAGGCTCCTGCAGGGCAGATGGGGTGCCCTCTGGCTCCCCCAAGTGACCTCTGCAAAGGTCTCCCATCCCCGGCTGTGGTGGGCTCGGGCCAAGGCCGGAAGTCGGGTGCCCAGAAGATTCCCACCCGCCTCCTGCCCTGCGGCTCCGGTGAGTGTCCTCCCCTCTCTGGGGTGCCTCGTGAGACCACCTGGGTCAGAAACCGCTGAGGGGACAGCTCCAGAGCAGGGTCAGGTCCCCAGCATGAAGGACCCCCGGCCAGGCCTGCACAGAGGGCTCCTGGCCATGGCCTCCCGGGAGGAAGGGGGGTAGGAAGCCCCGAAGACCACGTAAAACCGTGTTTGGCAGGACGCCAGCTGCTCCAAGTGGAGCCTGAAGCCTCCCGTGCTTTTCCTTCTTGCTTCTTGGTTTTACCAGCCTGAGATACGCTCATGCCGTGGAAGAGCCGTGTCCCGGCCTGCAGGCCGTGTCCCCGGGGCCCCTCTGCCACCTGCCCTTTGCCACTCCGGCCGGACGCCCCTGGGCTCGGCCCCTGACTGCATCCTCGCTCTCTGGCCCTCCTGCCTGGGTGTCTGCAACGCTCCTTCCCCCCAGCTAGGTGCCATGGAGAGGCTCCCCCGGCTCCGAGTAACCCCCACCACATCCTGCTTTTGTTGGTGCTCCTTTATGGCCGAAGACCCCGAGGCTTAGCGCGGCGTCCTACGCACGGTCACCTGCCCCGAGCTGTTGGCCGCGTGCAGCGCCGCCGTCTGAGATGTGCTGACCCGTGGCGCCCCGGGCGTCCTTCTGCCGCTGCCCGTGACCGAGCAAAGACGCTTTGAGGCTTGTAAGCTCGCCCAGGAACAGCAATAGGGCAACGTTCCGGGCTGACCCCGGCCAGGCGCGGGGCCGTGAGGGGGCAGCGCGGGGTGTTCTGACTGCCGGGTCCCTGCAAGGGTGCTGCCCATGGCTTTCCGCTTGGCACACGTATCTGGGACCTGAACCCTGAGAAGTCAGCCACCCGCAGAAGGGACAGCTGCTAAGGCTCTATGTCCGTGTTCTCCTAGACTTTGGGGCTGAAAACAACATGAGTTTCTGATCCCACATTGTTCCTGAGCTCGGGAATCTGGGGTGACTGAGCTGGGCCATGCTAGCCCAAGTCTCTGCGGGGGGTGGGGGGATGGAGGGGGATAGGGATGGAGGAGGATGGGAGAATGGAAGGGGATGGGGGTGGAGGGGGACGGGAGTGGAGGGGGATGGGAGAATGGAAGGGGATGGGGTGGAGGGGGATGGGAGTGGAGGGAGATGGGAGAATGGAAGGGGATGGGGGTGGATAGGGATGGGAGAATGGAAGGGGATGGGGGTAGATAGGGATGGGGTGGAGGGGGATGGGAGTGGAGGGGGGTGGGGTGGAGGGGGGATGGGGGTGGAGGATGGGGATGGAAGCAGATGGGGGTGGAGGGGGATGGAGGTGGAGGGATGGTGGAGATGGAGAGAAGTTGCGTTGCCTGGAGGCCTGTTGGGGGGCCGGGGTGGAGGGGGATGGGAGTGGAAGGGGATGGGGGTGGATAGGGATGGGGTGGAGGGGGATGGGAGTGGAAGGGGATGGGAGAATGGAAGGGGATGGGGGTAGATAGGGATGGGGTGGAGGGGGATGGGAGTGGAGGGGGGTGGGGTGGAGGGGGGATGGGGGTGGAGGATGGGGATGGAAGCAGATGGGGGTGGAGGGGGATGGAGGTGGAGGGATGGTGGAGATGGAGAGAAGTTGCGTTGCCTGGAGGCCTGTTGGGGGGGGCGGGGTGGAGGGGGATGGGAGTGGAAGGGGATGGGGGTGGATAGGGATGGGGTGGAGGGGGATGGGGTGGAGGAATGGTGGAGATGGAGCGAGGCTGCATCACCTGGAGGCCTGACCAGGGCCATCCACAGGGGCCTCTGAGGCCTCTCCTTACAGCAGCTGGGGTGTCTCCCAACGTGGCAGCCAGCTTCCCCCCAGAGAACAAGGGGAGGGAGAGAGAGAAGGGACAGGGAGGATGGAGGAGGGGCAGGAAGCCGCACACCCTGGAGCCCAGGCTGTAAGCCCACTTCTGCCTCACTCTGTGGGAAATGGGTGGCCAAGCGTGGTGCACACTCACGGGGGGTCACCCTCTGAGGGGGTGTGGGATTCGCAGACAGTGAAGCCGCCCAGGCTTAGTCTGGATGTGGCCTGGCCCTCCCTCACTGCCAGAGCCCCCCGGCCAAGCGTCATCATGGCTGCTGCCACCACCATTACACTGACCAGGCGTCTACTCCCTCCGTGGTGGTCTCCAGCCAGCCCCTGCTGTGCCCGCCATCCTGCCCGACACCCTCATCCCCTGAGCGCCTGCCCCTCTGTTCTGTCCATCGGGCCGTCAGTCTCTGGCACACCCTCCTTGCTTCACCTCAGTGACAGCTGGGGCTTGCTGCCGTGAGGGCGGGTGGGGTCAGGGAGAGTGATGAACCCAGGCTGGCTTAGGAGAAAAAGATGGGGGGTGTGTGAGTCAGTGAGCATACAACAGAATGTCAGGTGAGGGGAGTCTCCCCATCTCTCAGGTCAGCCTCCACATCCCTCATGGCCACCAAATGGCTGCAGCCTCACGCCCTCGGGGAGGAGCACGCTCTGGCCCCAGAGCCCACCACAGCGCCACTGTCCACACCGCTGGGCCAGCTTGGGTCCCGTGCTCATCCCTGAGTCCACCGTGTGACCAGGAAGATGCAGATCTGTGACCAGCCTTCATCGAGGCTCATTTCTGGAGTCAGGGAGGACCCTCCAGGCCACAGGGCAGATGGGGGAGCAGGGGCTCCTGCAGCGAGGCTGGGCTGGGGGAGGGGCAGCCACGGAGGTCCCCTAGAGGGCTCCACCGGCCTCAGGCCTCAGCAAGGCCCCCACATTTATCCTATGGCCCGGGGTGTCCCTCCCAGGAAGGTCAAATGCGGCCCACAGAGGCGCCCGTGAACGCAGTCGGAACTGCCCGGAAACGGGAACAAGAGGGCCCAGCTCGGGAAGCAGGGGCGCCGAGGGCACACAGAGGGCCCAGGAGGAGCGGTGCCCCCGGGAAGTGGGAGGGTGCAGCGGAGGGTCTGCCTGCATGTGGAGCCCCGGGGAGCGGCGGCGGGCCCCAGAGCACAGCGCTCTGATCCTGGCACAGCAAGGGCCGCGCGGGGCTGTCAGCCTGACATCTTCCATTAACGCTGCAATACATTTTTAATACATTCCATTTTTCTTTAATTTCAGATTATATTGGGTCCGGTAGACTCTTCCTTCATTATTAAGTCTTGCACCGTTAAGCAGTTAGAATGGTCTCCGCAAAGCGTGGTGGCCTCATTAACTCTCCCAGAGACCCCTCCCCGGGAACCCGCCTTAACGGTTTGGCTTAAAGGCACAGAGTTATGCACGCGGCCGCTCCAGAGCCCACAGCAACTGCTGCCGGCCACCCTCGGCCTCCTCCCCAGGCCAGCCGGACTCTGTGCCAGCCTCATGGTGCTGCCCCCCAGGAGCCCTCAGCTCAGGAGCCGGGCATCGCCCACTCCGGCCAGCCCCCCCCTCCTTGCCTGGCGGGGCCACAGTGCTCGGCACAGGTCTGCCCCGCCTCCGAGTGAGGTCAGGACTGAGTCCCCCTTGGGGCCCAGATGAGCTGAGCCCCGTGGGAGAAACAGCAGAAAATGTGCTTCCTGGTGGCAGAGGCTCAGGGCCTTAGTGAGAAATAGTGACTTGGCCCTTCAAGTGTAGTCAAGGTGAGAGACGGGTGTGTGCACAGGCCGTGCAGCCAGGACAGGCCTCCTGCAGGAGGCGGACCTCTGCCCCGTGTCTTCCCCAAGGCATCCACCCACCCTGGACACGGGACGCCATGGCGGTGCATTTCTGTCCTGGTTGTGTCGGGATGAAGGAAGGAATAGGTAAGGGAACCAACTGCAGGGAACAGCAGGCGGGAGGAAAGAAATGCAGTGCCCTTGCACTTACCCCTGCTCTGGGGGCTCCAGGGCAGGCGGGGAAGAGAATCTGGACCATCCCAACTGGGCTGGAGCAAACTCCCCGCTGGTCCTGCCTCCTTCCAGCTCTGCTCCATCCAGCCGGGCCACAGGAGGGGGTCCTCCTACACCGTCCCCCTTGCAGAGCAGTTCATCAGCAGTACCCGGGAGCGGTAGAGATGCACACTCGCTGACACCACCCCAGGTCTGTAGAATGGGGGTCTGCAGATGACTGGCTCCCAGGTTACATGGGGAAGTCCTGCTCTTCGACACCACCATCTGCCTCTGAGTCTTGAGATTAAATCACCTTCATCCCCATCCGTGGCTTCCTGTCCCCTCCGAAGTGAAGGCTGCAGACCCCCTCACTGAGAACCACAGCCCAGCCACCACCCTGTCCTCTCTGTCTGTCTCAGCTAAATCATGCTTTGGGAGTGGGCATGCTCACTGCCTCTCCCCAGCATCCTCCTGGCATCCCAGTAAACAGCTCCACAACCCTTTACACCCTGCCCACGTGTCACATTGAGCTCATCGCCCCTTGTCCCACCGTCTG